TCTGAAGTCTTATAATCTGAGTTTGCAGAGCTTGATTCATGATCATGCATCCTTGCACAATGAGGGCAAAGAGCGTTGGAGCAGCAGTTATTTGTGCTGATTATTCTTTTGTTAGTTTCTTGTGCTTGAGAACACGTTGCCACCACTGTTAATTAGATTGTATATTAAATTGGGTTTGTCTGAATAAAATAAGAATTACATATTGCTGTGTGAATTGTTGATTGCTGGAATTGCTATCTAATATTGGTGACACTGCAAAGGGTATATTTAATGTGCACTGCTGATTGATTGTCCTGAAATTAAATGGTGGGCTACTCCCTCAGACTGCTTGAGAAGTTGCTTGCTGGCTCACTTCAGAGCTAATGTTCTATGGGTCAGGTTCAACTGTAGATGTGAGTGACAGCTTTCCGTCTGTGAATGACGTTAGCAAATTAACTGAAATTTTCACAACCACTTTAATAGTTTCCTTTTCCTTTTTCTGATGCTAACCTGTAAATGATAATTCTCTATCTGGATTGAAATAAGAATCCAATGTAATTAACATGAGCGTGTTTTGGACATAGCTAGTTGATGTCAAGTCAGCCACATCGCAAGCATTTTAAAACTGCAGATTATTTTAATCCTTTTGTAACTTTATAAAATAGGGGTATATTTGAAACCTTGTCACATTGACGGTGGAGTGATCATTCCTTTTGGTTGAGGACAGATGCAACAACAGAATGGTGAAGGAAAGTTGAACTCGGTTACAAAAACTGAGTTAAAACATGTTGAAAGACATGGATTGCATGGTACAAACAGGGCATTTAATGTGTCGTGCTTTTGGTAACAAACAGAAAAACTCTTCATTAATGCCATTCCCTCCCACACAAACCAGTCTCCGGTCATTCTCAGACTGAACTAAACTGTTTACAACCTCTGTAGTTAGTCCTAAGTATAACCTTTTCATCAGAGGCGGTCTGCTTCCACCTCTGATATTGCCTATCTCTGCCGCAGCTGCTCTGCTACTGGAACCCTCATTGGCGGCTATTACCTCTAGTCCCAAAGCTCCGGCAGCTGGGTTTTGACCTTCTCAAGACCATTCGAATTGTGCTTGTTATCTACATTGCTTTCCATCCAGTGCTTTTAATTCTGAAATTTTCATTGTTCAAATGTCTGCATGACCTTGCTCATCCATCTCTTGACTCTTCCAGCCCTCCAAATTTGGCCCCTCATGCATCCCACATCTTTGTCCCACCGTTGATTGTCTTCACACTGGTTGGATGTAAAGTTTTTTTGGAATTTTCTCACTGTCTCTCCTCATTGGCCATGCCTTCATCCATTGTCTAATGTCTCTGTTACTACTGTCAGTTCTTGGCTGATTACTTCATTCCTATGAAGTGCTGAGATGTTTCTTTTTGTTAGCGATGCTATGTAAGTGCAAATTGTTGACTGCTTAACTATAGAATGCAAGTTGCAACAAGTTAAAAGGAGAGTAATTTAATTTAGTTACTTTTGAGGTAGATGCCAGAATTAAGGATGCAGATATTTTGGACGGTTGTGGAGCTGGAAGAGATTAGTGAGGATGTGATGAGGCCACAAGATTTGAAAACAAAATTGAGAATTTTAAAATTGAGGTGTTCTTCACTTGCTGCTGGTATGGGTCAGCAAACATTTGAATGATGGCTGAAAGGAACATAATGCAAGTTAGCACAATGTGGAGCTGGAGCAACACAGCAGGCCAGGCAGCATCAGAAGTGCAGGAAAGTTGACATTTTTGAAGAAGGGTCCCGACCCAAAATGTCTACTTTCCTGCTCTTCTGATGCTGCCTGGCCTGCTGTGTTCCTCCATCTCCACACTGTTATCTCACACTCCGGCATAGGCAGTTCTTACTATCTCTAATGCGAGTTAGGACATGGGCAATAGGATTACAGATGACCTCAAATTTACAGAAGGTAAGGTATGGTAGGCCAGGAAGGAGAGCAATCCAGTCTAGAGGCAAATGGTGTGGATGAGGGTTTCATAAACATATGTTGCAGCAGAGGGGTAGCATTAGACAATGGGAAGTAATACAGTCAGAAAGCTGTATGGCCCACTCTAACAGCTGCCAGATAGGGTTGAAGCTGATGGCTAGGGAGGTGGCTTTGGGAAGGGGGTATTCCCCACCCAAATAGATTCTTTAGGGATACTAGTGGTATCAGCATATTGCAGGTATTTCTCTGGTTAAGATTAACCAGATCAGAATGGAACCAAGAGTGTAGTTTTACCCAGCTGAGCAACACAAAGGGATAATTTGATTTTTACAGTCAAGTTGCATTTCAGTTGTTCAGTTCGTGTCCAGAAACTCATTCTCCCATTTCTATATCTGCGTTGCAAAGAGGAACTCAGATTTGCTGCATGGTTACATAAGCAGCACATGGTAACTATTTAATTAAAAGAAGGTTATTCTTAATTTAAATGCATACTGAATTTTCAGTAAAATACAAATTTTGTTAGTAAACCAACTTCCACAACGTGGTTCATAGATGATCCGGTTACAAATGTCAAGTCCTTCCAAAAGTCGTGGTCTAGCAAGTACATCAAGTTTGCTTTATAATAGAGCCAGCATCTCTGAAAGGCTGCTTAGATGATAATGATATTCCTATAGGAACTGAAAGAACTGTGGGTGCAGTAAATCAGAAACAAACAAATTGCTGGAAAAGCACAGCAGGTCTGACAGCAATTCTGAAGAAAAATCAGAACAGTTCTGAGGAAAGGTCACTGGATCTGAAACGTTAACTGATTTCTCTTCACAGATGCTACCAGACTTGCTAAGCTTTTCCAGTAACATCTGTGTTTCATTTTCTGATATTCCTGTGGGGTCATAACTCCAATCAACATGGGTATTCATAGAATCCCATACAGTATGGAAACAGACATTCGGCCCTACAAGTCCACACTGACCCTCTGAAGAGCATCCCACCTGGACCCATTCCCCTACCCTTTCCCTGTAACCCTCCATTTCCCATGGCTAATGCACTTAACCTACACATCCCTGATCACTACAGGCAATTTAGCATGGCCAATCCACCTAACTTGCACATCTTTGGCCTCTGGGAGGAAGCTGCAGCACCTGGCGGAAACCCATGCAGACACAAATGTGCAAACTCCACTCGGACAGTTGCGTGGGGGTGGAATTGAACCCGGATCCCTGCTGCTGAGAGGCCACAGTGCTAACCACTGAGCCACCATGCCGCTCATGACTAGTGTATGGTTATGATCTCACCTAAAATCATTAGGTAATGATCCCAAAATAGATTGTGCACTTTTCATCTTAATCTAATTTGGAATGAGTTATCTTTTATTTTTAAAGTAGACAAAATGTGAGTTCCAGAGATCTTACTAACTGAAAAATTCATTCATTCATAGAATCCCTCCACTGTGGACACAGGCCCGTCAGCCAACAAGTCCACACCAATCCTCGAGCATCCCACCCAAACTCACCCCCTAATCTACACATCCCTGAACACTACGGGCAATTTAGCATGGCCAATCCACCTAACCTGCGTATCTCTGGACTGTGGGAGGAAACCGGAGCACCCGGAGGAAAGCCACGCAGGCATGGGGAGAACGTGCAAACTCCACACACAGTCGCCGAAGGGTGGAATTGAACCTGGGTCCCTGGTGCTGTAAAGCAGTAGTGCTAACCACTGAGCCACTGTGCCGCCCAATAAAACAACAAAATTCTAATTCCAAACAAACGACAATACTAAACAAGTTTAAAGCACTAATATAGTCTACATTACGTGTACAACTTATTTCTAACACTGAGTATTAACATATGGAGTACATGGAAATTATTCTGTAATCAGAAACCCCACAGTGCACACCTAATGACAAATGCTATCAGGCGTATCCAACTGATTTTTCTCAGTAACTTCTCCCACCCATTCAATGCTGTTAACTCAATGGTTCATCAAATTCCATTAAATTTAATTGCAATTCTTCTCTTTTCCCAAACTGGTCTTGAAACTCCCTCTTAGAGATGCTCCATTGTAGACTGCCTCAATGGCTTCTCCTGTTCTGGTGATCACCCTCCTGTCCTGAGTCAAGAGTCCTGGACTCTGAAAATTGCACTCCAGTACTTCCTCTCAGGTGCAGCTAGTTTTTTTTTGTTGCTGATAGCTGACTTCATGAAGCTAAACTTTTCACAGCTGTCACTGCTTGTAAATTTTCATACTTCATTCTCTCAGGTATACTGAAATATTAATCCTCTCTGGGTTCTTCCGAGCCCCTCACTGCTACTAAAACACAGAACTAGCAACTTTCCTGTTTTCTCAGGTCTCCAGCACTACTGAAACCTGACTCCTAATTCCTAGAATTTCTGAGTTTTGTCTTGCAACACAGATCCGTCTAACTGCTCTTAACCCCTCACTAATTCTGCCTACACATAATCACCTGCCTTCCCAACAATACAGTTCACCATCACTTTTTTCCTTTTCATGCTTGCCTTCAGTTCCTTTCTGTCTCCTGAGTTCTTATTCAGTGGCCCCCAAAAAATTCCTGGGCAACATAAAATCTTACAGTCACAGGAATTGACACTAGCAACTCTGGAAATGAATGTGCCATAAATGTTACATTTAGTAGAGAATGTGGTTCCCCAAGTATGATTGAGCATACCGGAAAAGGATAATTGACAGTACTTTCAAATGGTCAATAAACATTAAAGCTAGCTCAGTAATTTTTTACCCTTTCTGGTTGTAAACTTTCTGAAGCATATAGAGGCCAATCTGGACAGGAGGTTTTGGTTTTAATAGGGTATGTCCACACAAGAGCCTTGCCATTTTTTTTTTGAATGCAAAGCAGATTTCATAAATAGACCCAACAACAGCATTTTAATTTTTCATTAAATCATTGTGAATACCATTGTGGAGACTTCTGGATTTTCAGCTGGTAACAAAAGTTCATTTTATTATTGTACTTCTGTTTTGTGACAGTACGTTTTTTTTTCCACAGCATGACTGAGTTTCTTTTGCCTTCGCAGCTCGATGTATTACGATGAAGATGGTGACCTGGCTCATGAATTCTATGAAGAAACATTTGTCACAAAGAATGGAAGGAAAAAAGCTAAACTGAAAAGAATTCATAAAAATTTAATACCTCAGGTGAGAGACAAATATACCAGCTTTGTAATTTACGGATCCTTTTGTTGTCTCTGGATAGAGTCCTAGTAAAGATTATGCATTTTATGTAGTCTGTTGAAATGCATCAAAACCCTTCAAACAGTTGAGTAGTGATCCATTACTAGAGCCAAGTATGGCAGCCATTCTCTGCAAGTAACATTGCATGGTGGTTCGGTTGCAGCATTCTTTATTATGATGGGTGAGTGTCCACCTTGATTGAAGATTTTTCCAACCTGTTCTCATTTGAGAGATGAGGGACCCACTTGTCTAATTTCCAGACATTATCCTTCAGGTTCTTTACTGTTGCCAATCATTGCACACAATATCATGCTGGTTACTTCTACACCAAGCCACTGCACCACTTTTTGTGACTATGCTGTATTGCTGACTAGAGGATGATGACCTTCGAGGTCCCTAAAATTTTCCAAGGTGACTGGATACAAGTTCACTTTGTCTATTTGCATTCAAAGCCTCTGTCCTCTTGCTGGGATCACCTACCTCATCTGTTGTTCCAGACTTCATACACTTAAAGTGGTGATGTCTCCTGTCTGTACCAGGTAAAGCTGCTGATACTCATTTATTTCAGCTTACTGGATGTGGTGAGGTACCAGAGTATGCTGGCTGGTGCACATTACCAGGTGCTTGCTGGTGTAAGTGAGAGCTGAGGATGCTGGGGCAATAGAACCTTGCCCACATTAAAAACCAGAGAATGCCACTAGTAATGGCTCATTGGGGAATTTCTATGACCGGACGAGTACCAATTTAAAAGCAAAATACTGCAGATGGTATAAATCCATAAGAAAACAATGCTGAAAATGTTCAGGAGATCGGAGATCTGACGTCTGTCAGTTTGTCTGTGGAGGATGAAACTGTTAATATTATGAGTTGAATATAACCTGTTAGAACTGAAGGGGCATAGAAATGTGATGGGTTATATGCTGTTGAAAGAGATGGGGGAGAAACGAAAAAGAAATGCTTTGAACAGGGTAGAGTGGTGCAGTGGGCTCCTGGGTTGGTGGGCAGGTGATCAGTGGCATGATGGAGTTGCAATAGATTTTAATTCTCCGATCTTTCCTCAGTAACTATTAATCAAAATCAGCTGAAACCATCCAAAGTTTCCAACTAGCTCATTCGTGGACTTTCCCACAGGGTTCCTGATGTCAGGTAGTTGCCCATCAGCAATTTCAACATTTTAGACACATCCCGTGATGTTAGTTGTGTAGGAACATCTGCATGATTCTGTCATGCCCTTCCTATTTAAGCTACTGCAACAATGGTTTTTCTGTTGCAAGATCTGGGCCATTAGGAATTCAGTGGCCTTTGTGGTACTGAACCAACAACTCTTTAGATCCGTAGAAGTTATACTTATCTATAGAGTTCAGACAAACATGTGAAGGCCATGCAGGAAAAATTAGGTAAATTTGTAGTAGGGATGAGATTGAGAGACTAATCTGGAACTCTTAAACTAAACAGAGTGGCAGGCAAATTCCACTGTCGGTCTTCCATACGTCTGTCCAATTTCTGGTAATCTTAAAGCAGCAGTCACAGGCTACTATTCAGAAGTCAAAACAAAGACTAAAACTTGATACAATTATATCCAAACTACTTTGATTAAAAACCAGTAGTTGGACTGCAGTCAGATTTAAAATACTAAAAATCCACCAGTTTCTGAAAGATTAGAGACTAGTTTTAATGGATATTTTGAATCATCCAAAAAATCAAAGTTGCTGGAAAAGATCAGGTCTGGCAGCATCTGTGAAGTTAAAAACAGTTAACGTTGCTGGTCTGGTGATACTTCCTCAGAACTGAGAACTGACATTGTTTTAGTGGAAGTTTTCATTTTCAAGTAGCTTATCATTTTCCAAGCTAGTTTGGACAACATCGTAAAGGGAAACAATCCTTAACATCAGAAGTTTGTTTCTCTTCCTTAATGTGTCTGCAGTAGCAATCAAAGTATGCAAGGTCAGCGTCAGAAACTACTTTGTTTTTTCTTGATCTGCCAGTGGTTCCAATATACAGTTGTCTTGTATCTCTATCACCAGGCAGTAGTATTGCCATCAGGGATACCTTTTAGAGTTTTGTGCTTGTGTGCTGAAATCACTGAGCACTACGTTAAGATGAGAGTCACTCGAAAGGCCAGCCTTTATTATCCATCCTAACATTTTGAGATAAATCATACAGCACAGCTAAAGGACCCTTAGACAATTGTAATGGCATTTTGAGCCATTCAGTCACAACCAGTTAACATTGTGATAGGTGGTAGCAGTTTATAACTTTTGCTATACATAGCTACTTAGTACAACATTCACAATAGAATTGGTAGCAATATGTTAAATAGCCCATAAACACAAGCTGATCACTTTTCTTAAACCTCCTGAATTACCTGATCTTTCTTTCTTTTTTTTTTTCCAGGGGATGGTTAAACTGGACCATCCACGAATCCATGTTGATTTCCCAGTGGTTTTATGTGAGGTGTGACTGAAATACAAGTTTTCATCAGATTGAGACTTATGCACTATAGATGACTGCCAGATGCTAAATCCTCCTTGGACCTTCATTTCAGTGGTGGAGACTGGCCCAGTGAGAACATGGCATCTGTTTCATTTGCGTGTAGTTTTCCTGCTACAAGCCAAACTTTCAAACGTTTCCTTTCTGTGAATATCAATAGAGTAATCTGAAAATTCATCCTAATTCAGTTAAATCCAGTCACAGTACAGATATACACTAAGAACTCTTGTGCTGTATCAAGTAATTGTGTTAGATCACTATGACCAATGTTCAAGAACAGTGTAAATAGCTTTAACTTAATGCAGTCATCAGGGATATTTAAACATTGAGTTCTGTATATATGCATCTGCACAGTGTTCAGCAGTAAATATAATGGCATATCCATGAAAGTTGATTAGTTCCAAAGTTTGTTATTTATCAATGACATTTTTGTTTAAGAATGTTTTAATTTTCTCATTGTGTAATAAAAACAATTCCCAGCCAGTCTCTTGAAATTTGTTACTGACTCTTGAATGTCGAGGACAAATATTCTTGAAACTAGAGTTTCAACTGTTTTCTGTACCAAAATGGTGAACCTGTATTTAAGGAAGCAGCCCCATAAATGAGCTGAAATGATGGAAATGTGGAGAAAATTAGATAGCAAAGACCCTGAAGGTATCTAGTCATTGCAGCCAAGCTGCATAGTGTCATAACACACCCAACACCTGTGACCACAGAATACCAGTCGGGGGAAGGGCTTTCTTCCCCCTCCATTCCTAGTGCCTTTTGTAGCATCTAACCTGCCCTGGCTGAATTACATTGGTTTGAACCAATTTAGCTTGTGTATTTTCAATGTTCACTTTGAATAGATCATCAAACATCAGTAAAGATTTACTGGGCAGCAAGAAAGTCCTGTGCTGACTGATTATCAGCTGAAATCTGGCATGATTTCAGCATGCTTATCAGATGGTATTTTTGCATTTGACTTGAAGGACCATTTCTGACTCTAACCAACCTAATCTGAATAGAACTGGAGCCCTTGTCACTAAGCTATTTGCTGAAACTGGTAACAACTTTGTTCAGCTAATGAAATAGTTGTACATTTATCCAAACCAGATATTGCAGTTGCAAAACCTGACATTGGCTACAAGATTTAACTCCTGTTCACAACTAAATGCTATTTTTCTACCCGAAAAGCATTGAATTCCTAGCCAAATATGTAATTGTCGTTTGCTGTCTGCTGTTTTAGATGAGGAAATAAGGATAAACAGGTGATCTATTGGATAACTGTTAACTAACTTGGCCTAGTCAAGGAACTGTCTGTCAGCCTCTTCACTTCAGGCAAAAAATGCTTCACAGTTAAACTTCTTGATCAGTGTTCAAGTCTGGCTGCTGTTAAACTGTTCAATGCATGTGTGTAAGCATGATCGCTGAAATATTTGTACACAAGGGAATGATCATTTGAAGCAAGTGATATGCATTTTTCCTAAGAATTATACTTTGGATTAATGTCATGATTTTAGTTATTGCTAATTGAAGAATCCGCTGTTGTAATGAAAAATAGGACCGAGCGAGAGGTAAAATTAAATCCACACTGAGGTTTTTTTGGTTTCAGGGTGTGGTTGGCAGAGAGGGTAAGGAAGCAAGAGCTGAGCATAGTTCACACAAAGGAAAAGAATGTGGAAACTGTATGATTGACATGAGATTAAAAGCGCATGGTCATAATTTACACACATGGATTTAGCTAGCCTGTGGTTCATTATTACGTGACCTTACATCTGCCATATGTTATGTTTCAAAATTAAACTTCTGTGCCTGTAACAGCACAACAATCAAATATATAGAATTAAAACTTCACAGGTCATGTGGGCTCATCTGTTGATTGTGCTTCATGTGAATGTTAAGGCAACAAAAGATTGAGAAATTTGTGGCAATATTTGCTGAGGTGCTACAAAGGTCTATGATATCGTCAGATGTAATAAATACTTGCTTGAGATTTGAATTTCAGCCCCCTGAGATTATCCAGGAATGAATTAAAATGGTCCTTGTATGCTGTGCTTCATATACTTTTTAGGATATATTAACTGTGACTGGACCAAATCATCTCTAACACTTTTTTTAAAATAGTATTTTTATTGAAAATGTGTGCTGTATCTTTTTTAAAACCAAAGGAACCTTAAACAGCCTGGCGTAGATGATTTGAACAGACGTCAACTTTCTTTTGTCACATTACTTATCAGGAATCTCTCCTGCTCTTAACTGCCTGCCATTGACCTTCATCACAAGGATTTGCAGATTGATAATTGACCTGTTTTCTTATGATATGAGCAGTTCTTCATTGGCCACCAAATCCTGGATTAAGAATCAAACCCAGAGGCTCTGCCTCAGAGGCAGGGACACAACCAACAGCTCCCAAGATGAATGGTCCCCAGTCAATTTGTGCCTCACCTGGAAAAAAAGCCTCTGTCCCTTTTAGAGATAGACTTTGTCAGTTCAAGAAGCTAGGGTGAAACTGAAAGTTTAGAAAAAAGATTTTTTTTGTTTTTTTTTTTTTTTAGAAGCATAGCAAAGTTTGTGAAGAAAATTGGTGATAAAGAAATTGTACTGGATCCTGCACAGTGGACCCATTGTGATAAGTAAACAAGTACTTGGAATTAAGATCAATCAGAAATAGGACAAATTTGTTTGCTCATATAGCCCATTTTGACTTAAGAACTGGGGAGTTTACTTGATCTAAGATCTCAAAAAAACAAACAAATGTCAATTTTTGTCATCCATCCATAATGTTAATGGATTCTTTAAAAAAAATTTTTGGACCCAATCCGTTTTTTCTTGGGTAATACCCTATCTGTGTGTCGGATTTCATTGAATCCCATCCATTAGCTTTTGAGACATATTGTTTACAGATAGACTAACAAAGGGGCAGAAGAGTTATGCTGCCTACTTTCAGTGGCAGAGATGAATACGTGTTTACGTAAGGGTGGCTGTTCAGTTCATTGTGGCAACTCTTTCTAGAACATGAATCTCTTCCCAATGTGGTTCATGTTTTATTTATAGCAAAATATTAACAAGTGTTTTAACTGCAAAATCTTAAAAACAAGAATTATAAAAGCATAAGTCAAAAAGTCAGGCAATTAATTGCATAGCCTTACTTCAACGGTGATACTAACTTTTCTATATTATTGCGCGCACGTTTCGAGGGGCTTCTCATACTGTCAGTTCTCCTACCCATTAACGTGTGATTCTTCTGTGCCTAGCCTCATTGTTCTTGTATAAGTCATGATTCTGAAAAGATTAATGTTGGGGATTGCATTAAGTTCCACCCAATCTGATAATGTCATCAGAATTTGAGTGGGGAAATGCAGAACAGCTTAGGAACTTGTAGAATGAGGACCTATAAACTGGATTTCCTCTTGTACTTGTCTATCTTACTAAAGTGTCTGTTATCTCAAAATAAACTAAATCATGTTTAAGACAAGAGCCTACTCTTATTGAAACTCATTTGGTGGTAGAAAAGTATGCCAAGCACAGCTGGCTGTGGTTGGCATCATAAGGTATACAACATGGTAACATCATTGGGTGTTGTTGCTTAAAGCCATCAGGCAGGAATTCCACTGAACCCAGGAGCAGTACTAGACATTTACAGTCTTGGAAATACTCATGCAGTTGGTAGCTGCAGTGGCAAACAGTCTGTAGATAGGCTCAGGGAGAGACCAGCAAGAGAGAAACCATACTGAAGCTTTTTACGTTGGGCATGTCTGACAAAGCAACATTTCCTCAGTACTGCACTAAAGTGACAAACAAGACTGATGTGGTTATGGATGGCACTGAGATGGTCTGTTGCAGGAGCACTGGTGTGTAAGCTTCAAGGGTAGGGAGATACAAAGTATAAAAGCTGTGAGAGTTTGGTTTTTATCAGCAAGATAAAACAAATACTTGCATTTCTATAGAAACTTTCATGATCTCAGGATGTCCTGAAACACTTTGCAGACAATAAAATACACATTGAAGTGTAGCCATTCTTGTAGTATAGTAAACATGACAGATAATTTGTGCACAAATAGTAATATGATGCAGTGTTGATTGAGGAATGAATAGTGATCAGGGCACCAGGGAGAATTTCCTCATTCCTCTTCAAAAGAAGTCGAGGAAGGCAAATGGCAAGAACATGCAAACTCCATACAGACAGTTGCCCAAGGCTGGAATGGAATCCGGTGCTGTGGGGCAACAATGCTAAACACTGAGCCACCACATCTCCCTCTGACAGTGCAACTCTCGTTTGGAGTGTCAGCCTCGATTTTTTTTTTCTGCTCAAAGGGGCCTGGGATTCCAATCTGTGGTTTTTTTTGACTCAGACACAGAGTGAACTGTGCAAAGGAGAAGAGTTGGGTTGGATGGGAGCTGGGTAAATGATATGCCTCATGACATCTAAGTTCTATTAAAAACTTTGGTCAGGGATTTTATAAGCTGTGATCCAAGGTACGTGACAAATGAACAAAATGTCAATGACTCGGTTTAGCGTTCAGATCTAAGTCTCTAGTTCTCTGAGAAAACAACCAAAACAACTTGGATTATTGATCCCGTAAATAACGTATTGAGCGGAGGTCACTAAAGTCGCTTCGAGATCCCTCGGTTGTACCTGCAGAATTACATCGAGGGTACAGAATGTTTAATAAAGTCACACTGATGTTATGACTGACTGAGGTGGTGCATCGTAAATTGAATCCCACTATTCCCACAGTCATAGCAAACATGAGCTTTTTTTCAGGTGTGCAGTTCCCCAATTTACCTGACTTTCAGAACAAGGTTGATAGAAATCACGGACTGGGTTTCTGTACTATTCAAGAATTACAATTTTGAGTCATAGTCATGCAGCATGGAAACCGACACATCAGTTCAACCAGTCCATGCTGACCATAGTCCCAAACTAAAGTAGTCCCACCTGCCTGTGTTTGGCCAATATCCCTGCAGACATTTTTTACTTATGAACTAATCTAAATGTCTTTTAAACATTGTAACTGTACCCTCATCCACCACTTCCTCTGGATGTTTATTCCTCACACAAACTACTCTGTGAAAAAAAATTGCCCCTCATGTCTTCTTTAAATCTTTCTCTTCTCACCCTAAAAATATGCCCTGTAGTTTTGAAATCCCTCACCCTAGGATTCACCTTAGCTATACCCCTCAACTTTCTATGCTCCAGCAAAAAAATGTTACAGCCTAACCAGCCTCTCCTTATAACTCAAGCCCTCCATTCCCTGTGATATCCTGGTAAATGTCTCCTGAACCCTCTCTAGCTTAATAATGTCCTTCCAAAACAGGGTAACCAGAACTGGGTGCAGTACTCCAGAAAAGGCCTCATCAACATCTTGTACAGACTCAACATAACGTCCCAACTCATATTCAAAGCTCTGAGCAATGAAGGCAAACGTGCAAAACACCTTCTTAACCATCCTATCTATGTGTGACACAAACTTCAAAGAACTTGTTATAAGTAATTCAATCACAGCTGCAAGTAAGCAGATATAAACCATGCCATAAACAGTACTAAAAGTCTAATCCCCAAGAAAACTCCCCCTTACATATACAGACAAACAAATAGAGAAAAAGATTATAGGCAGAAGCAGAAAAACATTGGAAAGTCGGTTCTGTGGTCATTGTTTCCAAATTCTGTTATTGAGATGATCTTGCTTTAGATAGCCTTGTTGTTCAGTCATCTTTCTCTGGAAGCTTCCACTGGTTTGTAAAAAGTACAGAATAACTGATTCACTTGAAAAATGTCTATGATTTATCAATTCAAAAGTCACAGCTCATAACAACTGCTGCAGGAAACACATCTGGTTTTCTTCAAGTTTAAAGTATTTTTTTTCCTCCAGTCAGCTACTGCTGGGATGAACAACAGTACCACTTCTCTCTTTCTCTCTCTCTCTATCTGTGTCTCTGTAACTTGTTTCCAGTTCCAAACTGCTCAGTTAGCTGAGAACCAATCAGTCTCACTTGTAACCAACTCCTTGGTTCCTGATCATCTACACACTGCAGGAACACATAGCCATAAAAAAAAAGCTCACAATAGGTATCAAATTCCTTTCTGTGAAATTATGCAGCCATCCTAGTAAATTCCTGTTTCACAAAAAGTTCCCTATTGTTGCATATAAATACCATGGCTACAAGAAAGTGGGTCCGAAGCTGGGAATCGTGCAGTGAGTAATTCATCCCCAATGCTTCCACATCTATGTGGCACCAGTCAGGAGTGAGATGGAATGCAGTTCGCTTGCTTGGATTAGTGTAGGTCCAACAGCATTCAATAAGCTTGACGCAATCTCATATAAAGCAGCCTGCTTCAACGGCACCAGCCCACCCCTTACACATGGAGGCAAGAGTGTCTACCATCTACAAGATGCAACTCACCAACGTTCCTTAGACAGCATCTCCCAAACCCATGACTTCTACCATCTAGGTAGAAGGGCAGCTGATACATGTGAATAACAACACCTGCAAGTTCCCCTCTAAGCCACTCATCATCCTGACTTGAAAACATATCAACTTTTCTTCTATGTTCCTGGATCAAAATCCTAGAACTCCCTCCCTAACTGTATTGTGGGCCTATGTACAGCACGTGGACTGTAGTGGTTCAAGAAGGCAGCTCACCACCTTCTGAAAAGCAACTAAGAAAATTAAATGTTAACAATTTGTGAACAATTTCAGCAGTGAAATTGAGTGGGTGGCTCGTGAATTTTCAATTACAGGAAAGAATTGCATTTTGTTGAAGTGAAACGTATCAAAATTTGTTCTGCAAAAGTGAATCACTATAATAGTTATTCTTCATTGAATGGTTTCAACGCAGAAGGAAGCCATTCAGCCCATTGTGACTGTGCTAACCTCCTGAAAGAGTCATTGACTAGTGCCACTCACCAGTCTTCTCTGCAACCTTGAAATGTTTTCCTTTTCAGATACAGATCCAATCACTTTTGAAGGTCTCAACTGAACCTGCCTGAACCACAGTGTCAGGCAGCACATTTCAGTTCCTAACCACTCATTATGTGAAAAGGGTTTTCCCCATGACTCCATTGCTTCCTTAGAAAGTCTTTAAAACTGTGCCCTCCAGTTCTTGATCCTGCCATCAACAGGAGCAGATTTTCCTTTGCTCTTCTGCCTGGGTCTCACATGATGTTGAACACCTCTATCAAATTTCGTCTCGACATTCTCCATATAGACCAGTCTCAACTTCTCCAATCTTTCCATGTAACTGATATTCCTTATCCCTGCAATCATCCTGTTAATTTTTTTTAACTCTATCTAATGGCTTTATAAAGTGCGGTGCCCAGAACCACTGAGCCACTGTGCCACCCTTAGTAGGCCTAAGTTAAAGGGAGAGGTTGGCCAGGATAGGACTTTTATCCTTGGAACACAGAAGAATGAGGGGTGACATTGTTGACATGTATAAAATCATGAGGGGCACAGATAGGATGAATGCGTATAGTCTTTTTCCCAGGGATGAGGAATTGAAAACTGGAGGCTTAAGATGAGAGTGGAAAAATTGAAAAAGGACCTGAGTGGGACCTTCTTCATGCAGAGAGTGATGCAGACGTGGAATGAGCTGCCAGAGAAACTGGTTGATGCAGGTAGAATAGCAACATTTAAAAACCATTTGGAGAGTTTCATGGGTGGGAAGGGTTGAGAGGGATATGTACCAAATGTGAGCAATTGGAACTAGCTGAGTGGGCACCATGGTCAGCATGGACCAGTTTGGGCCGAAGGGCCCGTTTCCATCCTGTATTACTCTTTGACTCTTTGACTTTGAACCGAACACAATTCTCCACTTGAAATCAATTCAGTGTTTTATACAGGTTTAACATAAATTCCTTGCTTTTTTCAAACTTATCGTCAATTGATAAAGTCTAGGATACTGCATAGTCTAGTCACTGCTGTGGGTGGAGGGAGTATTTTTGGGAGAACACAGTTTGGTATCAGCAGTACACGGGATTCGATTTAATGTTCCTTTTACTTCCCATAGAGTCATAGAGCTGTACAGCACGGAAATAGGCCCTTCGGTCCAACTTGTCCATGCCAACCAGGTATCCTAAATTAATCTAGTCCCATTCGCCAGCATTTGTACCCATCCAGATGCCTTGTAAATGCTGTAATTGTACCAGCCTCCACCACTTCCTCTGGCAGCTCATTCCATACACAGACCACCCTCTGCATGAAAAAGTTGCCCCTCAAGTCCCTTTTAAATCTTTACCCTCTCACCTAAAATCCATGCCCTCTAGTTTTGGACACCCCCTACCCTGGAAATAAGACCTTAACTATTCACCCTATCCATACTCCTCATGATTTTATAACCCCGTACAAGGTCATCCCTCAGCCTCCAACACTCCAGGGAAAATAGCCCCAGTCTATTCAGCCTCTCCCTATAGTTCAAACCCTCGAATCCTGGTAACATCTTTGTAAATCTTTTCTGAACTTTTTCAAGTTT